GTGGGTTACCCATCCTAGAATTGCTCTCGCCCGAACTCGCTTAACTTCGGAGTTCCGATGGAACCCGAAGCCAATAAGTTCTCAAAAGACCCTGTTCTATAAAAGGTGGACATGTACATATAAAGCACATCACCCCCTCTTTGTTGGTCGATGTAGGATGTTACAATCCACCCCCCTTAGGGGTCCAACGTCCTCGTTAGCATATTCGCATCACACGACATAATGGCTCTGATACCAAACTGATACATCTCAATCCCAACTCCACCGTTATACGATATTGTCCGCTTTGGACCACGCCTTCACGATTTTGTTTATGGGAACTCAGAGCAACTTCCCAGTGGGTCGCCCTCTTCGTTGGTCGATGTGAGATCTTACAATCCACCCCACTTAAGGAGAACCCGACGTCCTCGCTGGCACATCTGCACCAAATAGCAGAGTGGCTCTGATACCATTCTGTCACATTCCAGTCTCGACTCCGCCGTAGCACGATATTGTCCGTTTTGGGCTTACCATTCCCTCACGGATTTGTTTCTAAGAAGCCAGACCAGAACTTTCCAATGGGTTACCCATCATAGGATTGCTCTCGCCCGAACTCGCTTAACTTCGGAGTTCCGAAGCTAGTGAATGCCCAAAAAGCCTCGTGCTATAAAAAAGAGAGCATGTACATATAAGTCATATTATCCCCTATCTGTTAGTCGATATGAGATATTACATATGACCTTAAAGAGCATCAAGGATATATTAAAGACAGATAATCACAGTCAAAGTTTTTAGCTTTTTATTTTAAATTTCATTGTGTCGATTTGGGAACTGAGAAGAAGCCCCACTCACTGCAAATCGATCGATTCCCTTTTAACTTATTTATAAATTACCGGAAACAGAAAAGCAGTTCAATCCCCACTTCCTTTAACCTTTTTTCGAGGTAAGATCTTTGTTTCTTTTGGTCTTGGTATTGCTAATTAATTTCGATTTTGCTTAAAAGTTCAGCACTTTTCTCCGTCCAGCTTGAGCTACCTTTCTGTTTCGTTCTACTTATAGCAAATACAGTGGGTTGTTTTTGTTGAAATTAGCAAACAAATCGCCATTAACTTTTTTTTTCCTGATGAATTTTTGTAAATTTCTATTGAGTTGTTGCTATTAAACAGAATGAAAGATTCAATCTTGGCTTGGTTCTTCTTGTAAATTATTGAGATTTAGGATGCGATTGTTAAGAGGATTGACATTGGATAGGATAACTCGGGAAGAAATAGATAGCAACTTCAAAGATAAAAAGATGAATTAATTACTCATGAAGGAATGTTTTCCCGTCTAATACCACAACAATAATAGGATTAGAAGGGTTAACTTCGTTCATAACTACTCAATCGTTTACCTTCAATTCGGACAAAATTTGGAAGTTGTCCTTATTTCTAACGAACGCAGCCTTACAGTTCACGTAAAGTTGCAATACTGCTGCTCACTGATCCTTATATAGAACTTCTTGTTTGTTTTATCGTTTGCATTCAAGCTGTTTGGTCCTGGTCTAATTCAGTCTCTAAGTTGAATCTTTATTAAATCTGATTGTGCAACTGGAATTGGTTTTCGTGTTCAGGTCTTTTCGTTTAGCTAAGTGGAATTGGCCCGTATTGATGCTATGGTTAGCTATCACGAGTAAGATCTTCAGCTTCTTACGATACAGGCGATATTCTACTTTAAACTAATATAGATTACGGGGTTCAAATCTGAGTGCACGGGAGGGAGCACATCCAGTCTTAAGTTGGAAAAATGGCAATGGCTTCTCCAGTCAAAGTGGTTCTTGGCTCGATTGCTTTTGCATTCTTTTGGGTGTTAGCTGTGTTTCCGGCTGTCCCTTTCTTGCCAATCGGTAGGACTGCAGGGTCCCTCCTCGGGGCAATGCTTATGGTTGTTTTCCGAGTCTTAACTCCTGATCAAGCATACGCAGCTATTGATCTCCCAATCATTGGTCTTCTGTTCGGGACAATGGTTGTGAGTATCTATCTCGAAAGAGCAGATATGTTCAAGTATTTGGGCAAGTTGCTCATGTGGAAAACTCAAGGGGCAAAGGACTTGCTCTGTCGAATCTGTTTGATTTCTGCAGTTTCGAGCGCTCTCTTCACCAATGACACCTCTTGTGTGGTTTTGACTGAGTTTGTTTTGAAAGTTGCAAGACAACATAACCTCCCGCCTCATCCTTTCCTACTCGCCCTTGCCTCGAGTGCAAACATTGGGTCTGCAGCAACCCCGATTGGCAATCCTCAAAACCTTGTTATAGCTGTACAGAGTAAGATATCTTTCGGGACATTTGTGATTGGAATTCTCCCTGCAATGCTTGTGGGAGTTTGTGTGAATGCTGTGATTCTTCTATGTGTGTTCTGGAGATTGTTGTCTGTCCAGAAGGATGAGGAAGATCCAGCTCTGGAACCTGTTCCAGAGGAGGATGTAAGTTCTCATCGGTTTTCACCAGCTACATTGTCACATAGTACATCCTTAAACTCTCAAGAAATGAACTCTAGATTGGAAACCCCAACTGTGCAAAGTTCTCTGAATGTTAATGTGAGCATAGGTAATGTCGAGACTCTTAGAAACCGCTTACCTTCTAGCGAGAATGAAGCGAACAAGGTTCCTAGTGGTGCGATAGAGTCTGCAAGAATTTCAAGTGCATCAAAAGAGGACACGAATGATTTGTCTTCTCCTAAAAGGGACAGAACAATCCCATCAAAAAGGTCTCCATTGAATGATAGACAAACAGATGCATTTCCTATGGAGTCGTTGGAAGGGAAGGAACATCTGACCAAAAGATGGAAAAGGATATTGTGGAAATCTGGTGTTTACCTTATTACTATAGGAATGCTGATTGCACTGCTTATGGGCCTCAATATGTCGTGGTGTGCGATTACTGCTGCACTTGCTCTGGTTGTTTGACTTCACGGATGCCCGTCCAAGCCTAGAAAAGGTAAGTTTCACAAGCACGAAGTTCACTCCGAACGTTAGATTAGATTACAAATGTAACAAGTTTCCTTCTTTCTTTGACAGGTTTCATATTCACTCTTGATTTTCTTCTGCGGAATGTTTATAACCGTCAATGGATTCAACAATACCGGCATTCCAAGCAATCTTTGGGACTTCATGGAGCCGCATGCGCAAATTGATCATGCTAGCGGGATAGCAGTTCTTGCAGTCACCATACTTGTGCTGTCAAATTTGGCTTCAAATGTACCAACTGGTATGTATGCTGATATTATTTTCCGTTTGCACTCTATAAGAACCAAAATATTATCATACTTCCAGCAGCCACTTAACATGCATGTTTTTTTTTCTTTTGTGTTGGATAGTTTTGTTGCTTGGAGGGCGGGTGGCAGCGTCAGCGGCCCTAATCTCTGCTGCGGAGGAGAAGAAGGCGTGGCTCCTATTAGGTTGGGTGAGCACTGTGGCCGGAAACCTGTCGCTTTTGGGATCAGCAGCCAACTTGATAGTGTGCGAGCAGGCTCGCCAATCTCCTCAACTTGCCTACACATTGTCCTTCTGGAGCCATCTGAAATTTGGAGTCCCCTCCACTCTTATAGTCACTGCTATTGGTTTAACACTAATTAGATGAAACTTTTGGACAACAAAGAAAGCATCTTTGTATAGTTTTATTTCTACCTTTGTATGGGCAAGCCTGAAAGATTGCGCCTTTGTAACCAAAATGTCACGGGTTCGAGTCGTGAAAATAACCTCTTTACAAAGCAAAGACAAAGATGCGTATGATAGATGTTTATTCTCCCCCCAACCTTCACAAAGCGCGGGACCTTATTAGCTTGGAGTCTCCTTTTATTTGTATGGGATTTGTTTCGGCACAATGAAAAATTTCTCAATGGACTCAGATGGTTTCATTAACGTGGGATATTGATTGGTGCGACCTTAAAGAGCATCAAACATATATTAAGGACAAAGATGATAACAGTCAAAGTTTCTAGCTTTTTATTTTAAATTTCATTGTGTCGATTTGTGAACTGAGAAGAAGCTCCACTCACTGCAAATCGATCGATTCCCTTTTTACTTATTTATTAATTACCCGAAACAGAAAAAAGTTGAAGCCAACTTCTCTTTATGTTTCATGTGGTTATATGTTCTGATTCTGGCAGCAGATCATGGAAAAGCAGTTCAATTCAATCCCTACTTCCTTGAACCTTTTTTCGAGGTAAGATCTTTGTTTCTTTTGGTCCTGGTATTGCTAGTTAGTTTAGCTTTTGCTTAAAAGTTAAGCACTTTTTTCCGTCCAGCCTGAGCTTCCTTTCTGTTTCTTTCTATTTATAGCAAATACAGTGGTTTTTTGGACAAGGGTTTTTGCTGAAATTAGCAAACAAATCTCCATTAACTTTTTTTTTTTCCTGATGAATCTTTGTAAATTTCTATTGAGTTATTGCTATTAAAGAGATTGAATGTTTCAATCTTGGCTAGGTTCTTGTAAATGATTGAGATTTAGAATGAGATTGTTAAGAGGATTGACTTTGGATAGGATAACTCGGGAAGAAACGGATATAGAAGATGAATTATTCATGAAGGAAAGTTTTCCCGTCTAATCCCACAACAATAGTAGGATTAGAAGGGATAACTTCGTTCATGACTGCTCAATCTTTTAACTTCAATTCAGACAAAATTTGGAAGTTGTCCTCCATTTCTAACGAATGCAGCCTTACAGTCCACGCGAAGTTGCAATACTGCAGTACACTGATCCTTATATATAATTTGTTTGTTTTACTGTTTACACTCAAGTTGCTTGGTTCAGGTCTAGTTCAGTCTCTAAGCTGAATCTTTGGTAAAACTAGTTGTGCAACTGGGATTGGTTTTTGTGTTCAGGTCTTTTCGTTTTTGGTCCGTATTGATGCTATGGTTAGCTATCATGAGTAAGATCTTCAGCTTCTTATGATACAAGCGATATTCAACTTTAAACTAATATAAATTACGGGGTTCCAATTTGAGTGCATAGGAGGGAGCTCACCTACTCTTAAGTTGGAAAAATGGCAGTGGCTTCTCCTGTCAAAGTGGTTCTTGGCTCGATTGCTTTTGCAGTCTTCTGGGTGTTGGCTGTGTTTCCGGCTGTCCCTTTCTTGCCAATTGGGAGGACTACAGGGTCCCTCCTTGGGGCAAAGCTTATGGTTGTTTTCCGAGTCTTAACTCCTGATCAAGCATATGCAGCTATTGATCTCCCAATCATCGGTCTTCTGTTTTTGGACAATGGTTGTGAGTATGTATCTCGAAAGAGCAGATATGTTCAAGTATTTGGGCAAGTTGCTCATGTGGAAAACTCTATCTGCAGTTTCGAGCGCCCTCTTCACCAATGACACCTCTTGTGTGGTTTTGACCGAGTTTGTTCTGAAAGTTGCAAGACAACATAACCTCCTGCCTCATCCTTTCCTACTTGCCCTTGCCTCGAGTGCAAACATTGGGTCTGCCGCAACCCCGATTGGCAATCCTCAAAACCTTGTTATAGCTGTACAGAGTAAGATATCTTTCGGGACATTTGTGATTGGAATTCTCCCTGCAATGCTTGTGGGAGTTTGTGTGAATGCTTTGATTCTTCTATGTATGTTCTGGAGATTGTTGTCTGTCCAGAAGGTTGAGGAAGATCCAGCTCAGAAACCTGTTGCAGAGGATGATGTAAGTTCTCATCGGTTTTCACCAACTACGTTGTCACATAGTGCATCCTTAAACTCTAGATTGGAAACCCCGGCTGTAAAAACCTCTTCAAATGTTAATGTGAGCGTAGGTAATGTTGAGACTCTCAGAAACTGCTTACCTTCGAGCAAGAATGAAATAAACAAGGTTCCTAGTGGTGCGATAGAGCCTGCAAGAATTTCAAGTGCATCAAAAGAGGACACGAATGATTTGTCTTCTACTAAAAGGGACGAAACAATCCCATCAAAAAGGTCTCCATTGAATGATGGACAAACAGATGCATTTCCTACGGAGTCGTTGGAAGGGAAGGAACATCTAACCACAAGATGGAAAAGGATGTTGTGGAAATCTGGTGTTTACCTTATTACTATAGGAATGCTGATTGCACTGCTTATGGACCTCAATATGTCGTGGTGTGCGATTACTGCTGCACTTGCTCTGATTGTTCTTGACTTCACGGATGCCAGTCCAAGCCTAGAAAAGGTAAGTATCGCTCTCCGTATGTTAGATTAGACTACAAATGTTAACAAGTTTGATTCTCTTTCTTTGACAGGTCTCCTATTCGTTCTTGATTTTCTTCTGTGGAATGTTTATAACCGTCAGTGGATTCAACAAGACCGGCATTCCAAGCGATCTTTGGGACTTCATGGAGCCCCATGCGCAAATTGATCATGCTAGCGGGATAACAGTTCTTGCAGTCACCATACTTGTGCTGTCGAATTTGGCTTCAAATGTACCAACTGGTATATATCTTGATATTATTTTCTGTCTGCACTACAAATATTCTCAAACTTTCAGCAGCCACTTAACATGTATTTTCTTTCTTATGTGTTGGATAGTTTTGTTGCTTGGAGGGCGGGTGGCAGCGTCGGCGGCCCTAATCTCTGCCGCGGAGGAGAAGAAGGTGTGGCTCCTATTAGCTTGGGTGAGCACCGTGGCCGGAAACCTGTCGCTTTTGGGATCAGCAGCCAACTTGATAGTGTGCGAGCAGGCTCGCCAATCTCCACAACTTGCCTACACATTGTCCTTGTGGAGGGCAAGCATCTTTGTATAGTTTTATTTCTACATTTGTATGGGAAAGGTTGCTCCTTTGTGATCGAAAGGTCACGGGTTCAAGTCATGAAAATATCCTCTTTGCAAAGTAAGGGTAAGGATGCGTACGATAGAAGTTCCCCTGGCCCTCGCAAAGCATGAAGCCTTGTTGGTTGGGGTCCCTTTTGTTTTTTAAGAAACAATATTATTTTCGCTATGGGGGTGGGTTTAGCCTCACAATGGGCTAACAATAATGTAGTTCAAATTAGTCTTTGGCTAGAGCTGAACCTTAGACATCTCACTTACAAGTTGTTTGTACCATACTTAGGGCTTCCGTATTTAAATCTCGTATAAATACTCGGGAGACTTAAATGTAATTATGTAATAAAGGAAGGGGCAAATATATAAGAAGTGAGGAGCCCTTATTCTATAAAAGGACTCCTCACCCTCACAATTAAGGGGAGGCCAATTCCTAGGCCATCAGAGACCTCACTCTCTCCCTGAGAGGCTCTGAATCTCTCTCCCTCACAAACAAAGAAATACATAATCAGTGTGGAAGTAGCCCAAACCTTGGGGTGAACCACGATACATCTTGTGTTATTTACATTTAATGCAGATTCACGGTCGGATTTACGTTGTTCCAAGACCTCCGGTTTTGTGCATCAACACAAGTGAAGAGAAATATCACTAGAACGTAGTACTACTATAGGCTCAAAGCCAAAATGGTTCTTAAGATTTGCATAATCAATAGAAATGGTCAATTTTAAAAGTTTTGTAACTTAATCGTTTCTTAACCAAATTCGACCCATAATATATCAAAATGAAGATAGGTAAGTGTAGAACAAGATTATACCTATTTGGAAGCTCAATTGTTGCCATAGATGGCCGGAATATAGCCTGAAATTTGACTGGTCCGTGGGAAAACTGGAAAACTCGCCGAAAACTAGGTAAACTTTAAACGTTCATAACTTCTTCAATACTCAACGAAATCGAGTGATTCAAAGCTCAAGTCTCTATCAACCACCACGGGGTGGTCTAGTGGTTGAGACAAATTCTTGACCTGTATTCTACACAGTACATTTTGATCCTGTGTTCAATTATTGATTCTGGTGAATCATACGATGATGACTATGGGAGGTTGAAATGTTTATGTGAGTTTTTCCAGCTTCTGAAAGAGGTAGACTAACGTGGAGAAGCCACCGTCTGGTCTTTTTGTTGTTAAAAAAGCTCAAAGTCTCTGTCCTACTCACTGCCCAAAACAGGGCAGAAATGCAAACTGGGAACAGGCTGTGACCAACAAACCAGGAGACATGATAAAACAAGAAGGAAAGCGTTAGGGCAGCATGTCATGTGGAAAAAAGTTCATGGCGCCAACTCCAAACCTCATCACCATCAGCTGGATCGAGATGAATATTGCAGTGTGGCTAATTGCACACCAATAGGTTTTTGTAGTGCTTAGAAATAATTGAGGGTTTGTTTGGAACTGCTTTGGTTGGAAACACATTTTTGTTGATTTTTTTTAGACGTGTTTTTTCAACATAAACATGCTTTTAAGTTTATTTGTTAAACATAATAAAAAAAAAACATTTTGATTATTAGATAGATTTTTTAACCATTTTAGAAGAAATACTAGACACGTATTAAAACTAATTATGGATTATAAAAACACTTTTTGGAGCTTAGAGTTCATTACCAACTAGTGCCTCATTTTAATTAAAGTTTTTGACATGCTTCTAATAAAAGTACTTTTTTTTTTTTGGAAATCAGATAAGCTATAACCGGGCAAAGATGCCAAAAGATTACAAGAAAGCCTACCAAAGAGGCAATCAAACAACAGAAACAACAACAGAAAATAGAACAAGAAGGTACAAGGGAACCATGACGCCGCGTCTAATGATAAAGCGTCCCTTCTCAAGCTATCAAAAAACTACTAAGAGGGGCAAGGAAGGCCATCATTGCATAAGACATGGACCAGGGAAGATGGGGGTCTATTGACCCAACAGAGATCACATACTTCCCTACATTTTCGCGACGTCAAAAAGTCCGTGACCGTGTTGGCCAGTCTTGGTACCCAAGACCAGCGACAAGCTTGAAAAGCCATTCCCAATCTAAAGCACTTCCTAAGAATGGGAAAAGCATCCCAACTGCCCTTCTTTGCCGGATCCCTCAGGCAAGATAATGCTTCGAAAGAGTCAGATTCAATATATATCGAATTCCATCCGTTTCTTACCCCCAGATTACACCCATGCATAATGGCCAAAGCTTCCGTCATAGTAGCACCAGTAGCCTTGATCTTATGCCTAAAAGCAGCCAAAAACCGACCATGCTCATCCCTTGCCACCATCCCCGTGAAACCCTTACCCACACTTGCCTCCCAGCTAGCATCCATATTAATTTTGATAACTCCTTGATTCGAAGGAGACCACTGCACTCCATCACCCATACTCGGTTGATTGAGCAAAGATGGGGAACTCGGCCTATTGATTGATTCCTGATAAGTCGAGACCGATCTGGAGATAACAGCAACCATCCTGCTGAGGTAGATAACTTGATTGTTGAACTGAAATTCACATCTTGATTTCCAAATATGCCAGCATGTGAAAGCAATATAAGATATCTGATTAATCCTCACCTCCATGGACCCAATCTCCGCATCACCCATTTGCACGATCCAGTTTGCCCAGCTCGAAACATGCAGCCAATGAGGTTGCAAGTTCAACATACCCCCAAACCAAACCACCTCCACCCATGGACAAAAAAGAAAGAGATGTTCAATGGACTCATCATTAGAGTTACATAGAGGGAAAATGGGACAAGGAGAAGATCTATGAATATATAAATTCTTCATAGTAGCTAAAGCCGCATGCAGGGTCTTCCACATGAAAGTTCTTATTTTTGGAGGTACCTTCAACTTCCAGACAATCTTCCATAAGGTAGTAGGAATGGAGACCAACCGGTTTGATTGAAGGCTGCAATCAATATTTCGAGTGAGACTCCAATAATAACCTGATTTGACAGAATAAGACCCCCTATTGTCATAAGGCCAAACCAATATGTCCTTGAGCGTCGGATCACCAGTATGCATATCCAATATTGCCTCAATCTCCGAATCTGCCAAGAAAGGTTTTAAAAAATCAATTTCCCATTCCCCACTCTCAGGACAAATTAGCGACTTCACCTTTAGATTTTTTGAGACTTGAACTGAACCCAACGGGGACGGTCTACCCAAAGGAATGGAGGGGAGCCATCTGTCCACCCAAACCCTCATGTCATTTCCATCCATGATCTGCCAATGGGCACCATTCCTCAGAATCTCTCTTCCAGCCAGAAGGCTAGACCAAACCTAAGAAGCTCTCCCACCCTTCTTAGCATCAAGGAAAGAGCAATTAGGAAAATAACGGGCCTTAAGCACAAGTGCCTATAAGGATGTAGGTTCCAAAATCAACCTCCAACACTATTTGGCCAACCGAGCGTCATTGAACATCACAAAGCTCCTTAGGCTGAGACCCCCTTCCTCTTTCAGCTGACCCAACCTCTCCCTGGATACCCAATGGATCCGATTTTCACCTTGTTGACCCCACCAGAATTTAGATAACAAGGCATCCAATTCGTTACAAAACAATATAGGAAACTTAAACAAATTCATTGGATAAGCCGGGATTGCTTGTGCCACCACCTTAATCAGGATCTCTCGTCCAACTTGTGAAAGAGTTGATTTTTTCCAACCTTGCAGCTTATCCAAATGCCTGCCTTTAACATAGGCCAGCCCAGCTTTCTTAGATCTTCCCCATATAGCAGGAACCCCGAGATAAATCCCCGGATCTCCCACTCTCTCAAATCCGAGAATATCTGCTAGATGTCGAGAGACCTGTCCTTTACTTCCACCCCTATCCGATCTAACACTTCCAATTTCTCATAATTTCAAACCAGATATCGGTTCACAGAGATTCAGAAAAATATTAAATCCTGCAGGCAACAGATTAAAAAAGGTTGTACCATTAGGTGCATATTGGTAACACTATTTTTTTTACTCACGTTTTTTTAGAACCTACTTTTTAGCGTATTTTAACGATCATAATCGTCTATTTTTTAAATGTCCACTTAAAAATCACATCTATAAAAAATCACTAAAATCTGAAATACAGTACGAACTTTTTTACGTTGAAAACCTGTAATTTATAAATATAATAATAAAACTCTAAAGAAAAGTATAAGAATAAGAGCGAAGTCCCCATATTTGCATCATATAAAATAAGAAAAACTAATAAACAGAGTTTGAAAACTTTAAGTTTTAACGATAAGGACAAAATAAAGGGTAAAATGAATAGTACTATGATTGACTTTTTAGTGTAAAAATGTGATTTTTTGTTAAAATAAACAGTACCGTGAACTTTTTGTTAAAGTTCCCTATAAAAAATGCATTTTTTTAGACAGTGATTTTCATACTTTTTAAAAAAAGTTTTTTCTGTTTTTATTTCTTTGTTTTTGTCCTTGTTTTGTTTAATTTATGCAATATAAATGCCGTATTTTTTTTCTCTCCGCGTTTATTTCTTTGTTCTGGTATTTGAGTATTTGATTTATGCAATCTAAATGCTAGAAGAATAGGTAGAAATTCTTTGTGAACAAAAAACAAACCGGAAGAATAGGTAGAAATTACAAACGTGTATAATATTATTGAAAATATATATTCTGTTACGTTTTGTTAGCAACAATAACATCGACACATTAGTATTGAGATATAAACATTTAGTTCATTATAGATGATGAATATAAACAATTTCAGTTCGTTTCATTGCCAAACTGTTAATTCCAAACAAAAAAAAATGAAGAAATAGATCCAATAACTTGTATTATAACAATGTTAACGAACGGTATTTTCGGCACATTGTAAAATTTCTCATTGGATTGAGATGAATTCATTAATGTGGGATTGTGATTGGTACGACCTTAAAGAGCATCAAACATATATTAAAGACAAAGATAATCAAAGTCAAAGTTTCTAGCTTTTTATTTTAAATTTCATCGTGTGGATATGGGAACGGATCAGATCCTCTCCTGAGCTAAGGATAAGGATCCTCCTGATAAAAAAGTGTGGGTGTTGTATTTTTATTCAACGACTACAAACAGAAGGATACCTTTAAAGTTATAATAATTATAACCGTTGAATTTTCATCCAATAATCCACATTTCTTGGTTCTCCTCACCCTTAGCTCGGGAGAGGATCCTGATCATATGGGAACTGAGAAGAAGCTCCACCCACTGCAAATCGATCGATTTCCTTTTTACTTATTTATTAATTTACCCGAAACAGAAAAAAGTTAGAATCCCAAAGCCAAGAACTTTTTATGCTTCATGTAGTTACATGGAAAAGCAGTTCAATCCCCACTTCCTTGAACCATTTTTCGAGGTAAGATCTTTGTTTCTTTTGGTCCTGGTAATGCTAATTAGTTTAGATTTTGCTTAAAAGTTAAGCACTTTTTCCTGTCCAGCTTGAGCTTCCTTTCTGTTTCATTCTATTTATAGCAAATACAGTGGTTTTTGGATAAGGTTTTTTGCTGAAATTAGTAAACGAATCTCCATCAACTTTTTTTTTTTTTTCCTGATGAATCTTTGTAAATTTCTATTGAGTTATTGCTATTAAACAGATTGAACGTTTCAATCTTGGCTTGGTTCTTGTAAATGATTGAGATTTAGGATGCGATTGTTGAGAGGATTGACTTTGGATAGGATAACTCGGGAAGAAACGGATATAGAAGATGAATTATTCATGAAGGAAAGTTTTCCCGTCTAATCCCACAACAATAGTAGGATTAGAAGGGATAACTTTGTTCATGACTACTCAATCTTTACAATAGTAGGTTAGAAGGGATAACTTCTTTCATGACCACTCAATCTTTTACCTTCAATTCAGAAAAAAATTTGGAAGTTGTCCCCCATTTCTAACGAACGCAGCCTTACAGTCCACACGAAGTTGCAATACTGCACACTGATCCTTATCTTCTTGTTTGTGTTTACTGTTGCATTCAAGCTGTTTGGCTCAGGTCTTAGTTTTTCAGTCGCTAATTTGAATATTTATTAAATCTTATTGTGCAACTGGAATTGGTTTTCGTGTTCAGGTCTTTTCGTTTTTGGCTCATATTGATGCTATGGTTAGCTATCATGAGTAAGATCTTCAGCTTCTTATGATACAAGCGATATTCTACTTTAAACTAATATAGACTACGGGGTTCAAATCTGAGTGCACAGGAGGGAGCACATCCAGTCTTAAGTTGGGAAAATGGCAATGGCTTCTCCTGTCAAAGTGGTTCTTGGCTCAATTGCTTTTGCAGTCTTTTGGGTGTTGGCTGTGTTTCCGGCTGTCCCTTTCTTGCCAATCGGTAGGACTGCAGGGTCCCTCCTCGGGGCAATGCTTATGGTTGTTTTCCGAGTCTTAACTCCTGATCAAGCATACGCTGCTATTGATCTCCCAATCATTGGTCTTCTGTTTGGGACAATGGTTGTGAGTATCTATCTCGAAAGAGCAGATATATTCAAGTATTTGGGCAAGTTGCTCATGTGGAAAACTCAAGGGGCAAGGGACTTGCTCTGTCGAATCTGTTTGATTTCTACAGTTTCGAGCGCTCTCTTCACCAATGACACCTCTTGTGTGGTTTTGACCGAGTTTGTTTTGAAAGTTGCAAGACAACATAACCTCCCACCTCATCCTTTCCTACTCGCCCTTGCCTCGAGTGCAAACATTGGGTCTGCAGCAACCCCGATCGGCAATCCTCAAAACCTTGTTATAGCTGTTCAGAGTAAGATATCTTTCGGGACATTTGTGATTGGAATTCTCCCTGCAATGCTTGTGGGAGTCTGTGTGAATGCTTTGATTCTTCTATGTATGTTCTGGAGATTGTTGTCTGTCCAGAAGGATGAGGAAGATCCAGCTCTGGGACCTGTTCCAGAGGAGGATGTAAGTTGTCATCGGTTTTCACCAGCTACATTGTCACATAGTACATCCTTAAACTCTCAAGAACTGAACTCTAGATTGGAAATCCAGACTCTACAAAGTTCTCCGAATCTTAATGTGAGCATAGGTAATGTCGAGACTCTTAGAAACCGCTTACCTTCTAGCGAGAATGAAGTGAACAAGGTTCCTAGTGGCAATAGAGTCTGCAAGAATTTCAAGTGCATCAAAAGAGGAGACGAATGATTTGTCTTCTCATAAAAGGGACGAAACAATCCCATCAAAAAGGTCTCCATCGAATGATAGACAAACAGATGCATTTCCTACGGAGTCGTTGGAAGGGAAGGAACATCTGACCAAAAGATGGAAAAGGATATTGTGGAAATCTGGTGTTTACCTTATTACCATAGGAATGCTGATTGCACTGCTTATGGGCCTCAATATGTCGTGGTGTGCGATTACTGCTGCACTTGCTCTGGCTGTTCTTGACTTCACGGATGCCCGTCCAAGCCTAGAAAAGGTAAGTTTCAGAAGCACGAAGTTCACTCCGAACGTTAGATTAGATTACAAATTAACAAGTTTCTTTCTTTCTTTGACAGATTTCCTATTCACTCCTGATTTTCTTCTGCGGAATGTTTATAACCGTCAATGGATTCAACAAGACCGGCATTCCAAGCGATCTTTGGGACTTCATGGAGCCGCATGCGCAAATTGATCATGCTAGCGGGATAGCAGTTCTTGCAGTCACCATACTTGTGCTGTCAAATTTGGCTTCAAATGTACCAACTGGTATGTATGCTGATATTATTTTCCGTTTGCACTCTATAAGAACCAAAATATTCTCAAACTTTCAGCAGCCACTTAGCATGCATGTTTTTTTTTCTTGTGTTGGATAGTTTTGTTACTTGGAGGGCGGGTGGCAGCGTCGGCGGCCCTAATCTCTGCCGCGGAGGAGAAGAAGGCGTGGCTCCTATTAGCTTGGGTGAGCACCGTGGCCGGAAACCTGTCGCTTTTGGGATCAGCAGCCAACTTGATAGTGTGCGAGCAGGCTCGCCAATCTCCACAACTTGCCTACACATTGTCCTTCTGGAGCCATCTGAAATTTGGAGTCCCCTCCACTCTTATAGTCACTGCTATTGGTTTAACACTAATTAGATGAAACTTTTGGACAACAAAGAAAGCAAGCATCTTTGTATAGTTTTTTGTCTACCTTTGTATGGGAAAGCATGAAAGATTGCTCATTTGTAACCAAAATGTCACAGGTTCGAGTCATGAAAATAACCTCTTTGTAAAGCAAAGACAAAGAGGCGTATGATAGATGTTTATCCTCCCCCCCCCCCCCCCCCCCGACCTTCACAAAGCGGGACCTTATTGGGGGTCTCCCTTTATTTGTATGGGATTTTACTAAAATCTGTAGGCCATCAGACGCTGGGTTTAATTGTTTTGAAGTAGATGAAATATGGGCCTTTTGACCCCAAAAAAAGAGAAGAAAATATTATGGGCCAGCAGAGTAGTTGGGTTTTGGACCTTACAGTACATTAATCAGTCAAGATTCATGATGACTTTAGGATTGCTAATGGCAGTTCTCAAACTTTTCGGGCTGACTATATATATATATATAAATATATATATAGGAAGCCTTTAAGGGAAGGGATCTCCATTTTTCAAAAAAAAAAATGGGGACATTTTCTTAACTGTTAGATTTGATTTTAATGAAATCCTGTGGTTGAGATTCTGTGGCCTGTGATTTAATCTCAGTCATTGAATTTTATTAAAGTCAAATCTAACGGTCAAGAGGGTGTCTCCATTTTTTTTGAAAAATGGGGATCCCTTCCCTTAAAGGGTTTGTATATATATATATATATATATTAATACAATCATCATCCAACGGTTGATATAATTCATGTGAATATATGTATTTAATACAACCATCATTTGGCCGTCTTGATGGTGATCCTATTATATACATGTAAGTATCAAACTTTTAATGAAACATAAAACCGACAAATTTTTGTATGTATTTTATGGTTTATGTTGTAGGTAGAATTATAGCATATGTGTAATTGTGTAAATCTTAACTGATTGTATTAGAATTCCTTACGTAATATGGAAGATCTTAGACTTTCTTATTTGTAGCTCAAGTAAGACCATTATGTTTTTTTTTTTTGTTTTTTTAACAAACAATATTATCTATACTAAGGAAGAGGGTGAATTTAGTCTCACAATGTGCTAGCAATAATGTGGTTCAAATTCGCCTTTGGCGAGAATCAAACATAAGACCTCTCACTTACAAGTGAAGAAGTGAAGAAGAATACTATTAGACCGTAGTACTAAGTGGTAGTAAGCCTGTTATGTTACAATACATAAAGGCACAAGATAGTGTGAAAAGACCAATTTTTCCTACCCCTTTCTTTTCTCTCTTTCTCCCTCTCTTTCTCACACCCTCTTTTTCTCTCTCCTTCAGTTAAATTTAGCTGCTTTTTCATTAACGTTGCTTTGAGTTCTATTTTTAATTAAAAGTCTGTAACAGTTTTACATGTGGATATCCCCTAAAACATAATAATTTTCTAAGAAAAATGAGAAGACTATTTTGTCATGTCATGGCAACTATCATAACTTGGAACTTAGAAGCCATTTCAAGTATGATTCAAGTAACATTAACTTGGAACTTAGAAGCCATTTCAAGTATGATTCAAGTAACATTGAATGAGTATCAATGAGTTGTGAAAATTTTTAGACCATATCCATCTCCCTTGGAGTCAACTTTTTAGTGTGACTATTATTCTGTCATGTAATACTATTAATTTAATGATTTTTTCTGCTTATTAATCCACTTCTACTAACAATTCTTACAAAATCACATCAACAAATTTATATTATAACACATAAATTCATAACATTACGTGAAAACATGACCATTATGGATCTCGACTTGGTCCCAACATAAAGCAAAGCCAAATCTCTACATAAGAAAAGGATTGTGGAAACATGACACCTGCGATCCATGGCCCCACAAATTTTAGCTATTTATGGTTTTCAAAAAATGAAAACAAGAAAAATACTTTCTTAAGTTTTCAAAATTTTGCCTTCAATTTTTACTTTGTTGTTTTCAATTTTCATTTTTATGAAAACTGAAAGTATTCAGTTAGGGTAATGCTAGTGAGACAATATATTAAAACTATATTTTGTAAACCGTATGATGTGGTTGTTGGTGATTAAATTAATGTTTATTAACATGCTTATTTTCTATTGGTGACACGTCATGCAATTTACATATTTGGTTTAAAAAGTTGGTTTATCTAGCGTTACCCAGTTATCAAACAACTCTAATTAAAACGTGTTCAACTTAAAAAAATTACATACATAAATAAAAAAGGGTAATGCTATTCACACACATGTTTTTACATCCCACACTCTCGTTAATTTTATCTATTGATCTTCTTCAATTCATTTGGTCCAATCATCGGAAATTGAGAAGGACGTTTGAGAAAGTGTGAATAACATCACCTATTAAAAAAATGTGTGTGTGAGAGAGATGACAGCTGGCTTTCTTTTGTCCAATCCCATATCCAATTATCCCCCAACTTGCAAGATTTAGTCATTAATTAGTGAAACCCATGGCCACATTAAGCTAGTTTAATACAACTATTAGTTTTGTCAACATTAAATAGATACATATGTAACTTGTGGAACAAGTTCCTCTTCATTGCAATGAAGAGAATCTATCAACATGTCCAGATCATTGTTATGTTTGAAAAACATAAAACCAATCAGATCATTGTATCAATAAAAATCAAATTAGGAGAGATTCTTGCGCACGTCCATATGATTAGAGATATAAAACAAACAAATATATTTTCTCAAAAACAGTTGAGACCTTTCCCAACAAAGGATTAAGTTATTGCATTTAAGAGAATACAAACATATGACATAGGTTATTTTTTGTCTGGTGGAGTCTTTCACTATTATCACCTAGAAGTATGTTTTTAGAAAACCAACCTCTTGGCAAGCGTTGTTACTAGTTATGGTCACTCTATTCAAAATTATATTCAAAATTGCTACATTTGGGATCACTCCTTGCCTTCGACGGCTTGGAATGCCTTCCTTTTTTATAGCTATTTTTGAAACTGTGTCGTTGACAATCTTTTACCATTTGACTGCAGAAAAGAAGATGGGGAAGCTGCTGGAGCCTATATTGGTGCTTCGGGTCACATAAAACTAGCAAGCGAATTGGTCATGCTCAGTGGCGAAGCCAGGATTTGCCGAGGGGAGGGGCTAAATTCAAAAGAGTGCAAGGTTCAATCGAAACGGTTGCCTTCACATTGGAGAGGGCAAAGTTTTGAATCAATATTTATAACAGAAAACAGTATATCCACCAAATCGGTTGTAAGCGGTAAGATCAAAGGCATGTAAGAAGCTTAAATTGGTAAGAATTAGATTCTAAAAAACATTAGGCGCTAGTCACGCGGCGGACTAGGGCCTACCAATTAGGCGCTTAGGCGAGATTTAGGTAGGAACCTAGATGGATTTAAATGTCTTTTATTGTAAAATAAGCATTACACGATATTTACATTATTTAAAAAAAAATTAATACAACATTTATAGATAATGTGAGAGTTTAAGATAAATACGCTGGGGTTTTAAAAAGAGGGAAAAAAATACATACAAGAATAATAAATAAATAAAAGAAAAGAGAAGAGAAAAATGGGTTAACAAACCACAAAAAAATGTGTTGTCATAATTTAAATTTAGATCATTGATTAAGTTGATTCTTTTTTAAACGTTTGATTTGGATTTAATTTGTCAACATAAGTCTAGCGATATACGACTTGTTGATGATTGAACTATGTAAAAAGTAGTTATGCTCATTTATAAGTGTGTTTACGCTAAAAGCCTAAAAGTGCATTCATTAGTTTATTCAATATCTAAATGCTTCTTCGTGAAAGACTTCCTGAAGAATAATCTGACAAAAAGCACTTCGAGAACTTAGAAAGATGTAATTTTTATGGCAGATGTAACTAAAAGTGCTCTTTAGCCATTCCAATGGCATTGCCCAACAGGTCCATCCATACATGCATGCATAAAAAAAAGGAAAACTTTGGGGGAGGAAGCCGAGAGGTAATGGGGACAAGTGGTCCTCCCATCATATTTTAATATTTGTTTTTCAAATTAAGCCCAAATGCCCAAACACACCGTTTCACTTATTTTAATATTAATTTTGTTTTTTTCAAGTTTTCCCTTCCCTGCGCAGCCATGAAGAACTGCTGCAGTTGTAGCAATTGTGAGCTGCAATCCGGCGAAACCAGAGGTGCTATGGGGCAGCAAACCATGATTTTTGGGCATGTTTTCCTGTGAGAGGAGGGGCGGACCCCTCCCGGGCCTTAACAGCTTCACCGTTGCACGCTCAGCGTTTGTGCAGCTGCAGCAAAAAACATGGCTTCATTTCCGGCGAGAGGAGGGGCGGGTACTCGCTCCTGGGCTTCATTTCCGGTGAGGGGAGTGGCGGTCGCCACTCCTCGCCCTCACGTGGCTTCGCCACTGGTCATGCTGTCCTCGTTCCCGAGCCTGTAGTGCCAGGAGCCGCAGTTTCAACCTCTGATAACCAAACAACCTCCACCGCAATTGTATTACCCTTCATTGCCCCTCCATCTTCTCCTGCATCTTTCCTTCCATCCGGTCCACCGTCTGCTTCCCAATCACCTGCTGGATTTCTGTCCCTCACATCCCTTTCTGCCAATGCCTACTCTTCGGGTGAATCTGCTGTTAGCCTTATAAGGTTATACAATTAAAACACAAACGAAAGAGTGACTGACCTGATTCCAATGGTAGTTATCGAAGATGCAGCAGCCATGCAAGCAAGATGTGATCGATAAAACTCCAATCTTTATGTTTGCCGTGACAAACAGAAACACCAACTATTCTGTAAACTCCTAGCTTTATGACAAAGCTCTATGGGAAGCCTTAGTTGTCGTGTCTAGGGTTAGCAGGGACCGGTGTTTATATACTAGCCAAAAAGTCTTAGATTCCGTCCATAAGGGAAAACTAAAACTCTCATTTCTTGGCTCTCAAGTAAAATATCATAATCATATATTATTAAGGATTCCATCAATCCTATTTCCAATATAAGACACCTTATATAGAATTAATATCTTTAAGAGATTAAATCACAATTAACATTATTCTCCAATATTACATTCCTATTACATGTAGTAGACCACTTAAGGTTGATTTATATTGGATAAATCCAACATTCTCCCACTTGGTCTACAAAATGTAATATTCACGTTTATACTTGAGATTGGAGACTAATGTCACTTTAGTGGCCATGTAACAGTGATTACATCTCGTCCTTAATGCAGCTTCTGTCAAATGCATTTCTTAACATGGAACTAACAAAGTTGTAGGATTGACACAACCCAGAACCTTCATAATCACACATGCTAAGATCCTCATTCACATGAAACACAAATTATGATCAAGAGGTGAAACTTTA